AGGGTTCGCAGTCGTATACGACGTGGTCAGCATGACTGTGAACGTGTCTAAAGCGAAAGGCCTAGCGCTTTGGCGACGATCTGTCTGCCCACTCTGAAGATAAACGAACATGCAGTGGCTCAGGTGAAGTTCACGTACCTCGGGATCGTGTTTATTAGTGCTGGAAAAGGGGGTGGGGAGGAAGAGATCGACCTTCCAATTGGAATGGCTAATGGCGTCCTGCGCGAATTAATGTGCCCCGTTGTGACTAAAGCAGAGCTGAGTTTGAAGGTCAAACGTTCCGTGCTAAAATCAATCTTCATCCCGGTGCTCATCTACTCTCATGAGTCATACACCATGACAGTAAAAGAACTGAAAAACTTCGAACCCGAGTACAAGCGGTTGAGATGGGCTTTCTGAGACGAGTCGCTGGGCTAATGCATCTGGACGTTGCGCAGAGTACAGATATCCGAGAGAGCCTCAGTTTACAATCGCCGTTTCTCCAGACTGGGAAGTCACAGCTAATATGGTTTGCGTATGTCTTGCGAATGCTTTCAGCAAAAAAAGGCGAAACGAATAAAACTTGCCAAAACGGCCGGTCAAAAACTCGGCGAACAGCCAAGAATAAGTTGGAGCAAATGTACGTTACAGCTTTGCTCCAGCTTGCGGTTATGTTCTGCCAGGGCTCAAATGCTGAAACAGGATCGGGAACGTTGGGAACAATTTCTGACGCATCTGCCTCAGCGACCTAAAACTAGCTGACTTACTGACTGAGGTACAACTTCTAGAAAATGACAGGATGGTTAAGTTATGCCTGTGATAGAGCGATTGAAAAATGGAATTTACAAACGAAGATTGGACATTACTTAACATTGAACCCTTAAATAAAGGATTAACCACACTTTTAAGAAAATGTCCATGAAAACTTTTGTACCTGATCGCTAAACATCCTCTCATCCTGATAGTAGTGATTTCGCAACTCATAAAAATCAGATGGCCGAGTGAAAGATGAGGAATTACAATATCTGTAGAAATGCCGTGGTTATATAGAATTGTTACTGTTCGTTTGATCAAAATATCTAATAAGGCATTTGGCTACCACCTCTTGTTTCATTGTGGACTTAATAGCCTGGTTAGAAACTTGTTTATTAAAATCACTCAAGGAAATTTTGAGCATTATCACATAACATCAGAATATTATTCTTTATGTCGTAAATTAAAATAGCGTTGTTAATGGTAATGCGAAGTAATGATTCAACAGTTCTTTTGGAAAAAATTCAGCGTGCAGTAAGGAAGAGGGTAAACTTTACTTCCGGTTGCGACTGTTTATGACTGGGCTTTCCAGCCAGTGCGAAAGGATGAAGTTAAAGCGGCATAAATGAATAACATATGCATAAGCCCTCTTGCATTTGCAGATTATATCTGCCTTCTCGCAGAGAACTAGGACCCAAAGATATAACTGTTTATAACTCGGAAACAATAGTATTATGATCCGGTTCTCGCAATTAATTTAAACAAGACCACATTAAAAAAAGCTGGAGAGCAGAAGCACACCAATGTCTCTCTGACAGCTGACACACAACTTGTGTAAAACCCAAAATATATCTGTGCTGGAAGTCCATTGGCTGCAGACGGGCCAGTGACTGACTGACTGACTGACTGCAGTTTGGGGCCATTTTCTGCCGAAATTCAGACGTTGGCACAAATTCGACAACGTTTTAGAAGCTACCTGATGCGACCAGGTTTGCGCCCGGAAAAGATAGGTGGTTATGAAAATTGCTTTACATGACAAAGAACATTATCAACTTCTGTAGCTAATCAGAGCTAAAACCTCAAGTCAACCAGGATTTATTACATTTGTCCGTTATAAGTGATATTTCAGATTGATATTAAGCAATTTTCCCTCATGCGGTTAAGGTTCATATCCGTTGTCGCAAGTAGGTGTGTTTCGAAGTTTCCGTAAACGGTTCTGCGAGCAACTTTTTAAAGGTTAGGATTTATGTATTTGATAAGTCTCAATGCATCATGGTTTCACGATGATTTCTCAGTTGCATGAGCGAAGCATATTTCGTATGTACTGTGCTGAACAACAGGTTTTTGCAAAATCGTCAACATTCCGCAAAACATGGCTCTGGCAGTATCAGCGGTTTTTCTCCGGCAGCTCCTTCGTTCAGTCCAGGACGACACGGCAGCGATTGTCAGTGCACTTGGCTGGTATGATGCAATCAGCGTTCGTAACACACCAGTCATCTGAACGATCACAGAGGTAAAGCGGGTTTTTCACAGCGACAAGGCATTCGTTTACCAGCCAACTTCCAGCAACTTCGGAACTTGCATACTTCAGCAACAGAGCAGTACGATGAGTTTCTGCATTTTCTGGGATAACTGGGCGAGAGGTCTCTACAGTAACCACCAGAGACACATACGTATTCGCCATTGCAATCGTTATCCACGCCGCACGGTACGACTGCTATGAATACGGTACGGAATAGGCCATTGAAAAAGCGACGAAACAACAATAGCGGTACACAATTGAGTCATAGACAGCCACAGATTTAATAAGGCTGGTTTTACGCTTTATAGCTCTGCAAAAAAAAAGCATAAGGTGACAGCGATTTAAATATTTCCTTAAGTTTTCGATTCTGGGCCCAAAATTACGACGATGAATCTTTGAACAATTCATGG